GATTTTTCCATTAAGTCTAGATGATTTATCTTTCCATTATATCAATGGTTATCAACCACATTGAAGCATTTACTACGTAACGAATAAAGCTCTAAATGACACCAGTTTGTGAAACCTTGCGTTGGTCTTTTGTGTTTTGTGAAAGGTTTCGAAGTAGAGACTGGGTTTGTTCTCTCAGTGTGTCACGTAGCTCTTCTCCCACCTCAGCCATCAATAACAGCCACAGCAGAAGAAGAGGATATAACAGTGTCATCCATTGTCATTGTATAACAGGGTTACACAACAAAATCCCATTTTGCTACACAACAAAACACAAAGACACACAGAAAAATCTCAGCTGAGATTGAAACTTCTGAACTCCAGGAGCTTAAACATTCACTGTTTACGCAATAACACAGAGGTCCGTGTTCCCGCTGTGTGGGAGTAAAGTCAACAACAGAATACAGTGGAAGTTCAGCAGACAGAGGGGAGGCAATGTGAAAGTAATAGAATCATATAGGATCACAGAATAAAAGTGTGTTTCTTCTGATAATAGTTCGAGCAGATTAGGCAACGAATAGCAATGTATAAGGGGAAGGCAGAGAGGGCAAGGATTGCAATTTTATGCGGGAGTTATACAAGCTTGTATTCAGATCTTACCTTGGCTTTTTGTTGGTTAGGGTATAAAGAACGAGCATAATGGGCATAGAGCCTAATGAATAGAGAGAGCACGATAATAAAGGATAAATAGAAAAGATAATATCGAATAAACACCAGAATGGCAATAGGTCTCCCCAACTTATACAAGTCCAGACCTTTCTTACTGATAACGGATGTAACAAAACAGCATTTTAAGGGTTTTAGTTCCCATGATTTTTTACCACAGAACCAGAATAGGAGCACAACAGACATTCCTATTCAAATCAATGAGGCTGAATTGATCTGAGCGAGAGCCGTTGCGTATAAACTAAACCGTCTTATGGCAAGTTCTAACTCACTGAGGGGAGGTTTTGCAGTAAGGACCAAAACAAGCAGGGGAGCATTAACGTAACAAAGCATAGAAACCCAGAGTAATGTAGTAATATAACAACCTAAGCTTCATCAGAAATATGCGAAATGACCACGACCTCTTGCTAGTGTATTAAGTTGTGGAAACATATTTAGGCAGCAAAACCACTTAGTTTGGTTTCGGGAAAACACCATAAACGTAACTTTACAATTATTCAACTTTGGGACACAAGCACTAGTCTTGAATACCACCATGTCACCATAAACAACAATCACCATTTTTTGTATTCGTGAAATGACCACAGAAAACAATTCAATGTCAGTTCATCTCCTTTTCTATTTCTATGTTGGACACGCAGTTATCTCACAGACCAGCCTTCAATGAGAAGCAAAAGGACAGGAACTTGGCCTTCTAGGCATACAAATTGATTTTGCCTGACATTTGTAAAGATTTGAGCTGATATTTCTCAGATGACGTGTCAACCAATCAAACCATACAGCAGATGTAAAGGAATCTAGGCCTATTTATACATAGAAGAGCATGAGGAAGTTACTTTTAAGTATTGCTTAAAGTGAGTTCAAGTTGACTGTGCACCAAAAAAGAATAGTTGATAAAGTTTCTCATAATTAATTGACAAGATTGAAAAAAAAAGCCCCTTTTCTTCCATTCAAGTATGTTTGTGGTTTGTTAACTTGTATGCCACGTTTCTGAACGATATAATAATAGCTAGATGGTGATTAGGCTGCTCTGAGTGTGAGTCAAAACACAGACTTAACGAGAGCAAGTCAGCCACTCACTTTCCCCACACCCTTCCTTGAGGGTTTATACTGAATGTTGCACTTTGACAGAATTGTGGTTTTGTGTATTAATGAGGCAGACATGACAGAAATCACTGAGTTGTGCGATATAGCACAGTACCCTCAGGAATTTACAGGAGCATGAAAGGTACAACTACAGCTGTCTGTTCATCGCTATTGATCTATTATGAATGTTAGCTTCTACTTCCGCTATGATTCATGCTGAGTCTATTGTGCGTGCTACCTTACATAAATACAGTTTTTGTAATAAACTGCTGTCAGCACATATCCTAAAGCTGCAGACCTGTAGAGAACCTCATTTCATATCATTAATGTGCCTTGTGTCCACTCATATCCACTTTACAAGATGTTTTTTTCTATTTTGTTTAAAACTTTTGACTTGAGCAACACAGAAAGTTTTTTCCCAATATCAGTTACAACTCCACAGAAGAGACTTCTAACATATGAGTCTCACATTCCTCGGCTGAGCCATTAATTATGAGCCAATCTCATGATGCCACATTCTTCCGAATCCTGATCCATTCATTATTCAGACATGCAGCATATCGTCAAAAAAGCAACACCAAATTATAGAGTAGGGGAGGAAAAAAAGCATTCATTATTTAAAGCGTAAGTTGTAATGAAACACTTCCTTACAATGGGCATCACTTACTTCACAACCAAAAAAGAAAACTCTAACTCCAAATGAGTCCGAGGTTGATTGTTTTGGAAAAAAGCTAAAAATGCATCTTTGTTTACACGGTTTAGCTGAAACGAAAACACGTAGCAGAAAAACTTCAAAACCCAAAGGTGCTCTCCTCTAATTTAACACATTAAGATCCGGCATGAGGAGCAGAGCCACTAAACGCCCAATGGCTACTTCCGACTATGGAAGTGCAAATTAAAGTACACCAAGACCTTTACCAGCAAAACAGTTGTAAGCACGGATTAACCATTGCAACAAAGCAGCAGCTTTGTTCACCTTAAAATGTACATATTTATTTATTTAAAAATGTACAATATCTAATTACCATGCTACCGACCCCTGTTTCCGAATGGTGTCAACTATGCAGGTCCATGAAATCTCTTTTTACATACCCCTTTGAGTGTGATGAAGCATGCAGCATTTTGAAGGGTACTGCAATGTTAAGTGGTATTAGGCTGTTGGTGCATTAGATCCAGGTTGATTTGACTGCCACAATGGCGCTGCTCATCCAGAGGCGGGGAGCTGTCCTTGACAGGAAAACAATATGGATGTTTTGAGGGACGACACACTTGCCTTTCATTGAGCACTCTAATCATTCTCATACTGAAAGACTACCATCTCTTCTACTGTTCAAAGGCAAGCAAATACTGCTATATCAAATATTAGTCTTCTGCAATGCTGAACTGTATTTTGTGCATTATATACCTCAATAGAGCACATGATCTCTAAACACGTGGGTTCTCGTAAGGTTTCACTGTGAGGGTTGCTCAGGAGATACAATGGCTGTCTGCGTAATTGCTGCTACGTGTGTGTTTTACTGTGCAACTATAATACCAAGCAGGAGCCCAGACTCTCAGGAAAATATTGTGCCATTTTAACAATTCACTGTCAACTCCTAATAAAGTAAAGTAACATTTGCCAGATGCAGAAAGACTTTGGGGCAATTATTTAGAAACGCGGTCCAAATTGCCGATTCGTTTGGAGTGTGAGGAGAAGCCAGGATATTTCAAGTTGTGCAAGGCTCTCCCGGCACTGCAACTTTCTCCACTTGTGACAGAAGTGGCTGCTGCTGCAGCACTCCTGGGTCTGATTGAATGGGTTGTTACCCAACATCACACAGATTTCTATCAGCCAAAGAGGGCAAATGTCTGAGAGTAACAACGCTATTGATCTGTGGTGTCTTGCTGTTCAGCAGGAATCATTTGTATGAGTGACAAGGCCGCAAGGGTTAAAAGCCTGCATGAAAACATTCGGGGATTCAATTTTCAGCTCCTTTACTTTAAATTACTGAATTCATTTCAAACTAAAGGCTATAACCTGCAGTTTTGAAAGTAATACATTGGGAGGATGATCATTTTGGCGTACAATTACCAAAATCAAGTTCAAATCAAGTTCAAAAAGTTCTTAAAGTGCGGAAGGCCACTTGTTAATGTACAAGAGGTCTGATGCTGATTTTAGAGACAGACATGTCTTAAGCTGAGCGCTAACGTCAGCGTGCTAACATAATGACAATGCCAACATAGCTACTGATGTTTAGCAGCTATACGGTAATGCTAACTATCATAGTTTTGCTTTAGCATGCTAATATCTTCTAAATAGCACGTAACACAAAGTACCACAGAGGCTGATAGTTATTGGAACGTTTAAACTTTGACAACATGCTGCTGCTAACATGCTTTCAGTGGCAGCTAGTATTTACCAGCTTGACAAGCTTAATTAGTTTTCTTTTAATGTTTAATTGACACGAAAGAGGCTAGGGCTGTCCTCGACCAAATCAATTCTTAGTCGATTAACACTCACACGATTTTGCCAACTGATCAAGTAGTAGATTTAATCAAAAGAGCCCTAAAACTGAGGTTCTCCACAAAGAATAACACAACAGCAGCACTGGGAATCTTGTGTTTACCAGAGATGTGCTCATTAGTTTCTTGGAAATAAGTCATTTGAATTTATTCTAGGGACAGTGAGTCGGGACCAAAAGGATGGAGAGCGAGATACATTGCCATTGGCTAAAAAAACCCACAACTCAACAACAAAGTTGTTGACAGCAGCCTGATTCCACACCGATATGAAAGGCAACGGGCAGTCTTAAGCATACACACGTTTATTGGAAACTCTCGAAACAAAGTGCAACACAACCGATTCAGTAAAGCACAACACACACTGAGCACAGAGTTACATTCATACATACACACACACACACTCTCGACTGCCTCAGTAGGACATCTGGCTGCAGGCCCGTTGAAGCATAAATCCATTGAACTGAACTTGGGATCTAGCTCATTCAAACATCTGTGTATGCATAATGTCATATTGTTAATTTGCATGTGATAAGAATAACGTCGTGATACCTGTGTTTCTGATTACAGGGTGCACATTTTTCACATAAACGTCCTCAAACCTTGATTTGTTTCCCATTAGTGCGTTGAATCCCAGTGAAGAGGGAGGCTCAGAGTTCCCGTCACAGCAACGAACGTAGGCTCCAACGACCACACTTAGACAAGGTACATTAGGCTTCATTAGGTACATTAGGCTTCTTTTGTTGGACACATTTCCCACAGCTGCAGTCCTTTATTGTACATAAAGTATATAAACAGCAAAACACAGCTCAAAGAGTTCTCAAGGCCAGACATGCTTATTCATAGAAAACACTCTTTTCTCACATATGGAACTGGCATGCCATGAACAAAGATTCTTCAGACATCTATTCATTATAATTTTATAATCATTTCATTATTCTTATTTTTTTTTTGTGACTTTTATCCCTTGAGTCCTTGGGAAGGTGAAATGATTGAAAATTCACAGAATTACACACACTGGTTGCCCTTGTGCATCTGATTTGAAAAAGAGAAAAAAGGAAACATGGACTGTATTATCATCTTTTTTTCGGTCTCCGTAGAAAAGTACTGAACTTTCATTTCATAATGACACATTCACCATTTGAAAAGACTGACACCTACTGCTACAACAGTATCCATAGCACCAAATGATAACAAATTGTGGAATGATTTGAAGTGGGAAAGTGAAAATACTGTTACAGACATGACCTCTGAACAACATTGTTTTTTTTTCCAATACACACTGCACCATCTAATAGAATAATACTAAAATGACAAAGTACAAACGTCAGGCTGCCAAGTCAGGCGAATGCAGGTCTACGGAACATAACGAATCCGTGTCACAATCATTTCATCCCCAAATATGCCTCAAGATGTCAAACTCTCGCAGTCACAGATCTTCAGGTGCGAGAACCAGCGAGGAGGGTACAAGTTTCTCTCCAGTCAACTCTCAGAGTCTCGTCAAGTCCCGTCACAGAGTCTGGTGTGCAGAGTCGAGCACCTTTTTCCTCTCTGGGGAGGAGTTCATTCTGTGGAAAGTTTTTATTTTGTATTGCATCCGTGCGGGATTGGCCTCGTCAAAAAGCCGCACGCACGCACACGCACATCCGCAGTTTGAAGAAGCTGCCGATGGGTTGCTTTAGTGATGGAGGCTTGATTGTGGCTGATTTGAGTAAATAATGTTTAAAATAATTATCAATCAGAGAAAAGCTCTCCTTGTCTCTTTTAAACAATAAGCAGCTGTTTCAGCTGTTACTTTCTACATAAAAACACACACGTCTTTCGATAGTGGACACAAACATACAAACAGGCTCGACCAACATTCTGCAACATAATACATGCAAGATAATAAAATTACAAATCAACCTCCTACATTTGGCTTGCTGCTCGTTTCGTATCACTGGGCCATCTCCTGATTTTAACACTTGAGCTTTCAGTGCTATATAGAATCATTGCCTTCCAAAAGCATGAAGTCTGGTTGGGTTAGAGGTTGGGCTGAGATTGCACCTTCCCATTAATGTCACAGCAATGGGAACAAATGACATAGTAACCAAGGTAACAAAATGACCCATCCTCCCTAACAAAACTTGTAAGAGGCTACTAATTGCTTCATGGATGATAGGGAATGTGTCATCGAATGTGTCTCGAATGTGTGACCCTTAACGCATTGCAGGGTGCATGCAACCCAAGCAGGAAATAAAGACGTTGGTGTTTGTTTGGACGTGCTGTACCTCAATTAAGGCTGGACATATTAATATGGATGTGGATGAATAATACATCCCAATCGCTGCCCCGGGTTCAGGCCTGTCGAGACCTGAATGCTAGATTGTCTATTTGTGGGGCCACAGTAGAGCTGAAAGTCATTTGCAATACCTGTGGGGCACCTCATATAGTCCTAATGTGCTCATGAGCTGCAGTGGCGGAGCCCCCTTAATGAGCATTAGTGCAGAATTACATAGGGGCTTGTGCCTGTCCCGACACACTTCCACCTGCTGGTTTCCGATTGGACTCATTGAGCTACAATTTGGGTTCATGTCCCCGTGAAACCTCTGAGGAAATGCAGGGATTGTGAAAAATATAGTGGTGACAAGGAGGGGAAGAGAATTGAGAATGGGCCGATATGCAGGACTGCACTGGAAAATTATACAAACCCCGAGAGAACAGGGAGGAATGGAACGATAACAAATGGGTGAATGTAGAAGAGAACAGTTTGGGAACATTGGATCCTCTCTTTTTCATAGAGCAGTGCTTTTCTCCAAGAGTTGTTTGTTCTATATATATTTATGTTGCAATGGCACAACCAAAAATAACTGTAAGCAGTGTCCCATGTGTTTTAAATGAACATGCATCTAAAAGTCGAACTGAAACGCACAGAATGTCACTGGATTTCTGGCGCTACAGTTACTGACAAATATCCCATAATTTCATTCTTAGTGTGACATATAACAAACAGTATTCTAATCGTTACACTGGTTTGATTTCATGGTTTGATTGCTGTGACATTTCATGGGGCTTGTGGTCCCCATTCTTTAACAGCCAAACATAGTTAAATGTATCCCAGCATGAAACAAGCTGACAACATTTCTCATTAAGCAATAATCCAGCAAAAGCTGGCGATATTTTCATCTTCCTTCCCAGCCATTAGCAAGACGTGTTTCCTCAGGTTTCCAACATGTTTTTCTCTCTTCCCTCTCTGCGGTGATGTCCCATATTCGTAGGTTCCTCTCACACATCACATCTAAATATAGACTTTCAAGGCTGCTGCGCGAGAATCAGATATTTAAAAAAATAAATTAATGAATGCAGGTGTCACCGAGACGGGGTGCAACAGCATGGAGATGGGTGGGGTGTATTATTGTCCACTGGAATGTGTACGAAAGCCAAACAGTCACTGGGCACGAGGAGGTGGGCTCGCTGGCTTGGTGAGGGTGTTGGGGGGAGTCTCGGTGGCGGCCACTAGTCATACTGGCCCTTCAGTCAAGCCCTCCAGGGGAAGGGTGGTGGCATTGTCTGTGGGCTGCGGGTCGTCCTGGGGATGTGAGGGCGTGTGGGCGGCGGCAGCCAGACTGGCGTAAGGCAGGTGGCAGTCCATGTGCAGGAAGGGGGGGTAGTGCTGGCGATAGCAGAAGTACGCAAACAGCAACCCGATCACTCCTCCGACAAAGGCGTCTGCAAAGTCACAAAAACACATATACTGTATCTTAAGATATGCAGTCAGAGTTAAATAGGGCCCATGTGGAGGAAGAAAAAACAACAACACCTGCTCTTAGAAAGAGCACAATCGATTAGGCATTACTCTAGGCTGCTGTATGTGCAACAGTGTTCCAGTGAGCATTCATCACGCCTGACTAGTTTATAGAGCGTGATGAAAGTAAACTGAAAGGCAAAGCGATGGATCTGTTCTACTGAGGCTCAGCTGCCTCTGGACAGGCTGTCTCTGTCATTTTGTCATCTGTGCTGAGCACTTAAGCTACAATATGTCATGTAATATCACGCTGCCACGGTGGAAATTAAGCCTATATTGCTGGGTATAGATCAAAATGACTCGACCAGCTGGTGGCTGGAACAGCTGAAGTAGAGGATTCCATAATATCAAAACCATATTTCTCCACAGGGCGCAATATGCTCCCTTTATTTTCTCCTACTGTGTGAAAAGGAAATATAAAACGAAATCGATTTCCCCCGTTCATAAACTAAGCAATGCATGAGCTTGCTGTGAATGTCCCATCGACTCCCGTATGAATTTAACAGACTGTGACTTGATGCAATATATTAGTCTGGTGGCCTCATCAGAGACAGCGATTGGAAGCAGAGCCCCCCCCCCAGCCCCCCCCCCTGCTGGAGGACAGTGCGCACCTCCAAGGTACAAAGGGATGGTGGGGATATTAGAATCCATGGTTCAGCAGCCAGGCTAATGGTGGCTCTCAGCTCGTGTTTGCACTGGGTGCAGACGGGGGCCCCCCTCCAGTTTAAGGGGCTGCACCATTGCTGCTTACTTACAGTCTGCCGGGGAGAGGGAGGAGAAACCGTTTTCATGAAATACTAAGAGGACTCAGAGAGTGGTCGGCTTGCCTGTAACTCCTGCATGTGTTGCATTTTTAACGTAAATAAATCCTGGCTGTTAAAAGAGTTGCGTTTTCTGTAGCTGTCCTGCTCCCCGGGAACATATGGCTCCCTAAAACTAATCAACACCATATGACAGAGCTGCCATCATATTACCACAAATTCTCTCCCACACCACACCCACGTAGGCATGCCCCCCCCCTACTTCTTCCAGACCGTATGCAGAACTAAGACTTGTAATTACAATTTTCCTCCCAGGCTGCTGAGTTAAATGCCACCTCGCTGTCATCTGAAGCATTTTTCAGTCATTATGCTGCAGCAAACAGAAAAAAGCCTTATACGACAACATGTTCAGTGTGTTGGACAAATAAGCTTAAGCTGCCCAGTCGGATCTACTGTACAGTTTGTAGCCTTTCCTTGATTTTCCAGCCATGCTGATTAAGGTGAAAATGTGATTACAGCAGTACAGCTGTTTAAAATGAGCATCACCCCGGGTTTGCCTTCTAAATTATGTGTATTATAATTATAAAAGCGCCTTGAGCCAGGTGGGATTGAAACAGACTTCTGCACAACAACCCTTTGTCAGGCTGACACAAGCAGATTTAACACTATGTTAGTGTAAAACAAAGATAGTAAATCTGATTAACGCAGTGTCCCTGTGTCCCGTGTCTGAGCTGTTTTGCGGACCTTGCCAGTGGTGTTTGTAGTCGCAAGTCCGGGACAACGCGATCATCATGGCGCTGTAGAGGGGCAGCACCATGGCGCAGAGACGCCAGCTACGCCCTCGACCTTGATCCGTAAAACACTGCAGCTTCCCCGCCAGGTAGAAGGAGGTGAAGCCAAGGCCGGAAAATGCAACTATAGCAGGCAAAGTGGGCAGACAAAGAGAAAGAGGAGGGGGGAGGGGAGGGGGGTCAGGATTGAACATAAAATGCAGCGTCCAGATTATAAATAATATTGTGTATCAGCAAAAACATAAACCGTGACCATTTCTCAAGAGACTTTCTTGTAAAAGTCAATTACACTGCATGATGGGAAAGTGTGCAACAGTTAGAGTGCAAAATAAGAAATCAGAGATGAAACAAACAGCTATATTGTGATGACAAAGCGTTTTTAGGCTGAACAAGGTAATGAAGAAGGCAGATGGGAGACTTGCAGTTTGTCCACTGCCACCCGCTGGCGGGTAAACTCACTGAGGGATGAAACTTCAGTCTGTTAGGAAAATTCCTCCAAACTAAATCCCTGTGTGCGACACGACATCCACATCTGCAAGGCCACACTCGTCACGACCCAAACGCTGATGGAGACTTTCTTAGCGCATGGAGTTTGTCTCTCAGTGTGCATCCCTGAGCCAATACATAGAACAAAATGAGATTCATAATGACCCATTTCTATGCAAACACTGCCGTACTGAGATAAGACAGGAGGCCCTGCCAGTCCCAAATTACATCACATCAGATCAGTATGGGGCTGATGCATTAATACATAGCTGATGCAAAATGCTCATTTCGTCCAGCAGCTCCTTCGCACAGGCCCACCAACGGCCGGAGAGTCTGAGGTCACAGTGAAAGCTAAAGCTCTGTAGCAGAAACAAATGCGACTGAGCCGCTGGACCAAGCTGTGTGGAGTTGATGGTGGTTGGTGGAAGAAAAACAGCGGGGCTCTAATTATATGAATCATAAGCTGTGGGGAGCTTTAAAAAAAAGGTGGTGCTGAGGCAGGGTCATTACTTTACTGCTGCAAACAGCACATGTGTCCCTCAACCCACAAACTGGTCAAGAATACTGGTCGTAATGCAGGACACATGTGTAGCCTGAGGACAGTGAACGAGGCAGAGGTCCAGCCGTCTCAGTGGCTGTCCTGCTGTCAGGGTGTAAGAGTTGGCTCCATTAAGAACTCAGCATTTGTCCATTAGGCAATTTAGCCCCATATATTGGATGGCTGGTACAGGTTGATAATGGGTTTTGAATAAAGAATGGTTATACAGTGTCACACACCTCGGGAATGATGGCTATAATGTTGTTTGCTTGATTGCATTTTTACTTTAAAGTTGACTCCTATATTGAACACTTAAACGGCAATGAATCTCATGTGGGTTGGATTCCACAAAGGTATGCATGGTGTCCTGAATGTGTTCCTGTCGCTGCTACTCAGCCAACATACAGTTTCCATGTAAGGTCTCAAGCTGGACACACTGTCCAAAAATATGGTCCACAATCCACAAAGAAAAACCACTAAAGTGCAAAGCACACACTGGACAAGTTAAGACAGATTTTAGCCCGGGATTGGTCGCCAATTGGTCTGTTGTTTAAAACTTTACTGGACATGTCACTGGACAAAACCCATTATCAATAAGTACCAGCCATCTCTGAACGACACCCGTATTTTTAACATCTCCTGGAAGAGCGTGAATCAAATGGATCCTGTATTGCTGACTGTACGGGCCAGTTGGGTGGGCTATACAATCTCGCTTACTGGTAGTGGTTTAAGTGCCAACATTACATTTGGCCAATTGGTCCCTTTTAATAGTTTAAGCTTTAAAGTGCACCAGTAGTTCAAAGCTTCATGGAGACATAATGCACCCTGGGCTAGATTAACCAAGTTAATACATTCTACCAGTTTAATCAATCTACATGGAGAGCAGGGACATTATAAAATATGCAAAAATCGAATTGACACACTGTAGTATACGGTATAACCATTATCAACCCCCACAAAGTGTGCCACAGGGGTTTAACAGACAACAAAAATGCACGTTACTTCCATGCTTGCTGGCTCAGTTCATCAGTCCAGTCCTTCTGTTCGGAGGTCGTGAACAAGCCATCTGAGGTCCTGAGCATCCCTCAGTGCCCTTACATCTCGCGTCTGGGCAACCTCTCCACATTTCCAATCACACAGCAGCTCACACCATTCATTTTAATAGCTCTCGAACCATAGCTAAGAAGATTACATTGCTCATTTGGATAGACAGAGCAAAATTATCCGTGAACTAGTGACTCAGTGTGAAGAACATTTGAACTGTGGAAAACTCACAGCAGTTACACATGGGAAAATCCCACGTTTCCACCCGGTCTCCCTTTCAGTTTCCCTACAGATCTAACTGCAATTTTATAATGCTGACAAACATGTATTTGTTTATCTTAAAGTGCAATGCCATCTGTATTATTTTAACATTATACAGTGCTTATTGTTATTTTCTTACTTTGTTTTTGGTTATTCATTGTTGGTTTCACGATCTAAAACATGCTCATGGGCCATTTAAACCTATGTGCTTCTGTTTTTTTTTTCTTTGAGTGTGGGGCTTTTTATATAAAGTGGTAAGCTGGCGACAACTTCCGGTTCTGACGAGTGATGCCATTGCGGAAGTGTCTTAAAACTTGCATTCTCTCTACTAACCAGCAGTGGCCGTGGAAGTCTCTGAGAATAATACCCTACCTCTCACTTGATTTATTACCTCAGTTAACATTATAAAGATACGTTTATGGTCACTCGATCGCTAGATTCAAGTCTTCTTCAATACAGCATGATGTTCATTTAGTAAATGATGGTCCCATTCAGAGTCAAACAGACCATAAAGCGGAGTATGCTTTAGGGCGGGCTTCTGTGATTGACAGGTTGCTACCAGAGCCGTATACGGCATCTCTACGTCACTCCTCCGCATTCCAAAGATGGTAACTTCTGTTCACTGGTTGCAAAAACAACACGGCGACGGCCATATTCCAAGATGGCGAAGGCTTTATAACGGCAGTCCACTGACCAATGGATGACGTCACGATGACTACGTCCACTTCTTACACACAGTCTATAGTGTTAATTGGTACGAGTACTAAATATTCTGTTGGCTTCTCTAATGGTCTGTTTACTAGTTTTAGAATTGTAGCACAGATATGAAGATATTTAATTAAACTCAGCAAAATCGCATTGTATTTTTAAAGGTCTCATAGGGAGGAATTGTTTACTGTAGCAGCAAACGTGCATGCTTCATTTCTGCATTGCACACAAACAATATGTTTGCAGACGGTGAGTCAACATCTTGAGGATTATCCTAGAATTGCTTTGGGGATATGCATAAAACATGAGTGAGGACATTAAGTGTGTGTCCCTCACTCGCATCTAAAACACAATTCTATGAGTAAAATTAGCATATTTAACATTTGCTGCGGCAGGGTGACACAGGGAATACTAGGTGTGCCCAGTAGACTGCTGAAGGATGCTTCCCAAGAGGCAGCAGGACTCTCTGAAAGGCCAGAGGACAGAGAGGAGGCCAACAAAGGGGAAAAACATCTCGGTAATGAATAAGCTTCGTGCGTTTAAAAAGCCTTGACGAGTAATTCCCCCGAGACAAAACAAAGATGCCTCATGAGAGTGATGTGTGCAGTGCGATTGCTTTTTTTCATCTTCAAACGAGCACAAGGTTTGTTCAGAAGATGCAAGTGAAGAAGTCTGAATGGGGGATTTCTGTAAACATGGTGGAATTGAGGCACACAAGTGTCTATATGAAGAATTTCCAATCAGTAATTCCATGTGTGTAGATATATTATGAAGGCATATAAAAACCAGTATGAAAAGAATAACAATCCTCCCTGTGACAGTGGAGGCATGTGTAGCATTGTGTATGAATCCTACTGAGCATCGTAATAGCTTCGAGGGAGCTACACTACTTCCCACAAATGATTGTTGGGAACATACAAAGCTTGCAGACGTCCTATAAAACAGCCCGGTATTCCTTTCGGGAGAAGCATGCGGCAGCTAACGGTGGTGGTAGAGCAGCACGATGAATTGAATTGGCAATAATTGAGTCGTCAGGAGTCTTACGCGCATACACGGCTTACATTTCCTGCGACAGTGAAATATTTCAACAGCTGGTGTTCCACTAAGGATAAATTACAAACACTTTGGTGATCCTCTGAATATTCTTCCATCGCCATCATCAGGTCAAAATTTGAATTTGTCCAATAGGCTGCTTTGGTTTTTTGGCTTTTGTTTACTTGTTTTTTTGTGACTGGGGGGGGGGGGGGGCACACGAGCTAAGTAGCCTACAGCCAAATGATGAATACGATATTTTTAAGAGACCAAAAATATTGAAGTTAACTTTCATGAACTTGTAAGACGAAAACACGGAGACGAAAACACGGAGACGAAAACACAGAGACTGTCACGAGGTAGCCACGCCCTAAAGCATACCCTGCTTTATAGTCCATTTTGCTCTAAACAGGACCATCATTTACTAAATGAACATCATGCTGTATTGTAGAAGACTTGAAACTACAGATTGAGACCATAAACTCATGTTTAAAATGTCTACTGATGTGATAAGTCAGGTGAGGGTCATTTTCTCATAGATATACAAAGACTTCTTTTTGCAACCAGGGGAGTCGCCCCCTGATGGCCGTTTAAAGTTTAAGGCGCTTCCAAACTGGCTTCACTATTCAGAACTGGCGGTTGCTGCCTGCTGAAACTAATGACGTTCCCATCAGCCTCAGCTACTTTGTGCTTACTGTTATTAAGCAAATGTAAGCATGCTAAAAAACTGAACAAAGGGAGCGAGCATGGTAACCATTATACCAGCTAAACAGTTAGCATCGTCACCGAGAGCATGTACTGTTAGCATGCTGACTTTAGCATTTAGCTTAAAGTAACACTGTGCCTAAGTAAATCCTCGCAGGGATGCTAACATGGCTGAAGACTCTAAAAGCACACATTTTCACTATTTTCAAGTTGCTGTTAGCTTCATAATTATCATTATGTGGGACAATAGGCTCCATCAACACCACACCACATGAACATGCATATTCTAAGTAGACTTCATTTTGTATATTTCCCACTGTTAAAGTATAGTATATATAAGTATATATGAGCAGAATATGATTTCATTTTGTGTGTGAGTACAACCGGGCAGACCTTATAGTAAAAAGTTCTAAATGAAATGAAACATGAAAGAATGGCTGACACGAGGACAAGTACCGCAGACTGTGTAGTGAAAAAAGAAGGTGATCTCTTGGACCTGTTAAGGTTTTTGTCAAGTGAACACAGAGGACACATTTTAAAGGTAAGTGCTCTTTAAAGTACAGGGTTTGGCCCTACTCAAAGAGTGGAGTCAAGCTCTGGTCAAAGCCTCTGCAAAGTCTAGTTATTGTGGTAATATCAGTCTCTTTACCTTTCCCCCTGGGCATTCTGTTGAAATGTCTGTCATTGACCACACACAGACACAAAGTGTCTCACCAACCTCTGGCAGGAGCGGTTCTGTTTTTTATCTCCCTTCACTCTCATTTCTATTTTGACATTTGACCCCTGCAAGAACCCATAGGGCACCCCTCTGTCTCCCGTCACAAGCCATGCATAGTGTGGTAACAGGTTAACCAACCACTTGAGCTCTGAATTTGTCAATACCATTAACATGCAAAAGCCCAACAGGAACTCGTTATTAGCGCTGCATAATTGCTGCAGCACTCCAACACGAGCTGTTCCTCAAACTCTTCGGACACTCAAGGCGGCCTGAAGTGTTCCTCAGCGGGTAACAGTAAATGTACGAGCGCGCACTTTGCAGAAGTCTAACTCTCTTTAGCTGCTGAACTAATTGGATGGGACATCCCAAGTTGCGGTTCATTTAATGTAGATCGTTGTGTGCAAGTGAAAGAAGCAATGTGGAGATTCAGAGATGTGATTAGGTCCGTCTCGCGGGATGCATTATTTTTTAAAAGGGCATATTAATTGATCATATCTAATATAATTTATTTATGTTAATATGCACAGTGGGGATGATGGAATGAATATGATTAAGAGGGAGATAACCTACAGCTAATGCTTTTGGGCCGGCTTGATTCACAGCCGTCTATAATGGTGCAGTGGGTTCAGGGGAGTTTGTTTTTCTCTTTCTGGGACCTGTCTCCTCCAATTTGGGTTACTCTGTTTTTTGGTATCAGGTGAAGAAAATAAATCAAATCACAGAGGACCCGAGTGGCTTTAAAAACTTTGAAATGCAATAATAGTTTTTGTGCTTTAGAACAAAGCTATCAAACACTGAAGCCGAAGTGCATATTTATATCTTTGTCCTGGCTGATTCTAAAGGATAATCCAGCATGGTTTTGAATTTATTTTACCGATAGTCCGCGTCTAGGGCTTCATACCGGTCACAAGAGGTGTTGCATTACGTCCAGATGCCACTTTGATTAAGGCTACATTCACTCTCGCTATCAGCCTGCCCCTATTCCCTGTCCGTTCACACATCCGTCTGGGCAAAAGCTCTGTAACGTCTGCGTGGTCCAACAACCATGGTCCAGCTGAAAGGGGACACAGACAGGAAATTGGATTTCTTCTGCTTTCTAGACGTGCCGGCATGCGGGTGTCCTCCCTGTGTCCCCGTCGCACAATTCTCTCAATCACTTTCTCACTCTCAGCGCAACAACACAAGGCCATTAGAGCTGCCGCGAGGGATGGATGTAATCCATACACAGCGCTGCAGTGACGTACAGAGAATGGTCCCTCTCTGCTTTTAATGGGACACAGCCAGGACTTCAAAGCAGTTCTATTTAAAGCAGATGTCTGAGAAGCTGTAAGTGTGCAACTTTAACATTATGTCAAGGCATCGATTTGGAATCAGACTTGGACCATGAAATTACAACAGCGGTGAAGTCTCATTGTTGTAAAAACACAGAAAAGGCCGATTCATCCCGGGTTTTAATTCTTCCGTCCTGCTACGGGTTAGTTCAAGGCAGTCACACCCACAGCAGGATTTCAATTTAACACGTTCACAAACCATTTCAAGTGTTTCTTGAACACACACATGCGCCCTCCACCTGCCGAGTGCACTTCTTCTTCCTGAACTTACATGAAACATTTTAAGTTTAATTGGAATATGAAATTCAAATGTTCAAAATGTTCACGGTGCCAGGGATTTTCATATCTTTTTAAATTGTGAGAATTAAAATGCTTCAGTTGGATGCAACCATTTCCATTTTAACACATATTGCTGCAATACTTGGGAATTCTACATAATGACCTGGTTAAATCTGAATGTGCATCCAGAGTGGAAATGCAATAAGGGTTTTGAATAAAAGTAAACAAGATAGATATAAAGGGTGCAACAGTCCGGGCACAGCTCACTGGAGGATATGAAGATTTTCTTTTCTTTTTCATAATGCATAATAGATAGCAGGAGGTTCGATGTAATTCCAGTGGAAGCATTTAACTCTTGGTTGACTTTTCTGAGTCGCAGGAGCACGAGAGAAAAGCAATTTCACGAGTATGTTTTTATCAAAGACGTGTGTCTTCTTGAACGTCGTCTTTACATGCCCGGTGCGCCACACAGCGCTGAGCAAGCTATGCAACATCTGTGCGGCCGCCCACAGCAAACACTCCATGAACGCCACGTAACATTCATCTGCTGGACAACAGAACAACATGTGAATTATTTAACACGCTGCTGGAGTGAAAATCAGCTTGGAAAGCAATATGGTCGAAAAAATATGTCCAGCGTCCCGCATTGCTCTGCACAGCTGAACACAGCGGGGAGTCTCATGAAGCTGAAACGGTGGGTGTGCATTCAACTCTCATGCGATCACCAAATGAGCCGGATTGAATGCGCTTCACTCAATCAATCAACCCGAGAGCGTCTCGACAAGGCGCCTCGGGATGCATAAATTGAATGATAACTCATTGCTTACATGTTGTAATTACCTTTGAAGAGGGGCAGCATCGAGATCATCACTTGTGAAATGTGAGCTAAATGCCTCGTGAACAACCAGTCAGCACTCATAGACGTGATCTATACTTGGTGACATGTTGCTCAGAGCAATGAGATTTCAAACTGTGTGAATAGCCACAGTTGCATGCAGTTTTAATGAGCTGGCGTGTGATTCCGGATATTTTTTGGCACTGTGCGTTGCGAGCGCTGGCGGGCATCTGCCTTGACTGAAAGCTGGTACTCACAGGAGGAGTGGCTGCTGGGGAAGCTCTTGCGTCCCTCGGAGACTAGATCTGGCTCCCCGGTGCACAGCATCTTCGCATTTACTTGTCCGTCTGGGAAGCAACGTTGGAAATAGTCGGGCCTGGGTCTGAAAGTGGAAAAACAACCCCAAAAAAGATGGTTGACAAACAATTTATTGTTTATCAATCTAGTGAGTCACAGCTGAAAAAAAAAAAGAAGTGATCTTCAGAGATGTAGCGTTACTAAAGGAGCCGGAGAAATGCGTCATGATGTTAAGCGTACCTGCCAACAATCAACTTGATGGTGTTTGTGAAGACTCCATTCAGGGCGAGGGCCAGGGACACAGCTGGAGGAGGAAGATTGACACACACACACACACACACACACACACACACAGTCAAATCACCATCAAGGAGCATTCATAGAAACAGCGAGGCTGCAGTGATACAATTGATTTAACTGTCATGTTCTGGCAGGTTGCCCACTCTTCTGATGTAATGTACGAATAAAAGAGCCAATTAGGTTCACGGGGATTTCCCTTGCCGCTGGACAGATGGTTGTCAGGATTTATGCGTTCAGCCTTTCAGAATTTTTAAGCAGCAACCTTAGCGAGCAGATTCATAAACGCACGCAGAGAAATAGACAAATATATAAATTCATGGTAAGTTTCTTTCATCTATAGCGGAATCACGTCCTTTGTGTAGCCAAATGAAATGAAGCCCGAGGCCACTAGGCCCCGTCGTAATAGTGTACCCTCGGGGCCCACTGTAACTACTGCTACAGAGAGCCAGATATTTAATTGGGAGAAAAAGTATCCCTGCAGTGGTGGTGGCAAAATGAATGCACCTACTTAGAACCAATCTAACTGTAAAGCAATTAGTGCTTCAGTTCAACTTTGGTAATGGGAAACAGGAGGACTGCTGTTGGTTGACAGGTAGGCAATAGGCATTGCACTGTAACTGTACGTTCATTTAATTAGCTGTGAGGCAAACCGCTGGGACTCATCATTAGTCAGAGTCGCTGCCCTCTCAGGTTAATCCCAGCAGTCTGCGGGGTCAATTGAATGCACCCCACGTCGCCGGAGCTCAAGCAGTATTATCTTCCTGAACTGCTGAGACGGGCGCAGTGTCAATGTTATATTTAACAGCTCGTTAATTTGGGCAAACTCTGTGCAGATCAGATGAAAGCCCAAAATGAGGCATGTTCCGTTTGACAAGTTGAAAAATTGGGACATTAAATTGCAATGTGTTCCCCTCGTCGGATATCTCATGGGATGAGGCGGCGCTTATTGATTACATCTATTGCTCCAGCTCATATATAGCTTAGTCTGGGGAAGTACGCTGATTGTCGTTAAAGTATTCATTCTTTTTTTTGTTTTTTGCAGACCCAAAGCCAACAGTAGCTCTAACACAGTTTTGGCAGTCCATTTTTTTTCTTTTTGTATTGACGTCTATTTGTAAAACTCCGAGCTGAAGGAGACTGGATGCTGTAAACTAATGTGGTATAATGTGCTGTATATTCCTGCTTTGTGACTGCGTGCATCAAGCTCAGCCTGGCATCTGTTCTTTTTAAAGGGTATGAAAGGAACCGATGTGATCGGTCTTTCTTGAAGCTCGCAACAAGTGCACCTGCTGATATTGCATTCCTCCTCAAAATAATGAAGTCCCCCAGCTACAGCCTTTTGCCAAATTGGTCTGTGCAGGACTGAGTCACTTACCCCAGAGTTTGCTATAGTGATTGCACTATACAGGAGGTAGAGGAAATTGAAGACCTATTCAGTAAAGACTTGCGCTCCTGCCATCACTTTACAAAGGTCCCTCACATTCAGCTCATATAGACGACCAATCTGATTTGCTGTTGAGGCTGATTGGAATAAAATCTCTGTCAGTCAAAACAATATAACATCCTAAAGCAACAGCCACTGTCTAAATCTTCCAAATGTTCTTGATTATTGACATTCATCCTCAAAACTCCGGTTGAAGTTTAGACCCATACACATTAGACCAAATGTGCAGACACCACACAAACTCCTGCTATTGGTGACGCCCTCATTGTCTGAGTAACTGGAAGATTAGTCCCTCTACACACATCAAACAACAACGCCTCTGCCTGCCATGAGATCTCACGTTCGGATGATGAACAACATCATCCATGCTTTGCAAACCAAAATTAAAAATAATCACTGCAGAATCATCCCCGTGCCGTTCTCAGAGTGTCGTCTTTTGGCAAATACGATCAAATTTCCAAAATGACTGCATTATATCTTGACTGAGGGATGATTACGCAATTAAGCCGCAGGAGTTTGGGAATGATAAAGGGTTATTAGACGACTCTAACAAAGGGAACACACTGTGTTCTGTTTACTCCAAAGAAAGATAAAGAGGAGCGGATGTGAGTGCACTGTTTCAAATAATAAATGCACAATATTAGAAAAGTCCCCTCGGTATTACAGGGGTGAGCATCTAACTCTTAGAACCCTGAAATTATGCCAGCACAAATAGGTCTGTTTGAAATTTTAATTCGTGAATTCAGAATTAGAGGACCCTCGGGGGCAACTTTGAACTCAATAACTTTGCAGAAATAAAGGGATAGCTACTTTTCTATGATTTAAACTTGCGATGGCAAAATGAGTGGGTCTGTATCGCTACTTCTTGACTGCACACCCAGCCCAAAAAACTGCTTCTGTGATCCGTCTTTCTTATTAGGTCTAGAGGTAGCCTTGATTCCAAGCCTTTTCAAAACTGTGACCATGTCAGAGTAATGGGCTCCCTTTTTATTCTTTGTTCTTCAGCGGGATGTTGATTTGTACGACTATAAAGCCGAGTAGAAGTGCTTCTCTGCAGGCGATAACGGGCCTGTTCAATTCTACAGAGCCCTGTAATCCCCACACCGATGCACCGAGGCACCCGCTCGCCACCAGATCCATCTCTGTGTGTCTCTTTAATTAGATTTGCGTTAAACTTCCTTCATGCTCTCTGATGTCCTCTGCCGTCGCCTCGACCCAAAGGAGGGCAAATGGCAAATGGGGGGGGGGCAGAAATCAGCGCGAGAGAAATGCCCAGATGCTGTGAGAAATAGCATGAAATCTAAAATGTGTGTAAATACTCGTGGCGTCTATGATTAAGATGAACTCGTGTGGTGGCATATCGACTGTAACACTAGGTCACAGAATTGAAAGATTGGCCCTATTAAGCACAATGAAGTAGTTTGTGGTGAGCATTTAGTCCATGCTTTCAGGCAGAACAGGGGAAAGAAGATCATTTGTATTAAAAGAAACTCCAACAATATCTGCGTCAACTATAAATAGAGAAGCTTGATGACTTCTCTTAAGATTGTGACTAACAACAACACATTTGTGACATTTGAAGTAATTGGCGTCACGTACCCAAACATGCCTCTTTGAGCTCCGTCTTGTCCGTCCGCTGAATTATCTTCACCACGAATATCACCGCCAGTGGGGTAAGGAATGAAATTGCCTGGGAGGACATAAGAGACGAGAAACGGACAGTTATTGTGACGTTAGAGATGCGCCGCAGCGTTCCACGGGATCTGATTTGCAGGTTAATCGTTAAATGACTTTTGCCTCGGGGAATGACAGAACCTATCCATTATTCAGAGTTTATTTTAACAAGGCAAACCCGAGGGCCAAAAAGGCTTCTTTGTTGTTCAGTGGGGTCTCTTTTTGTCTGCACAGAGTAGAATGTTGTCCCTCACTTGATAAGAGATGTGGGCCTCCCCGGCACATCGGTAATTATTCATGCCTCACAAAGGATTCATTACGTTTCGGCCAAATTCAATATTTTCTTTGCCTTAAGCAACAGAGGTAGTAAAAACAAAGGCAGAGCTCCAGTTACATTATCATAACACACATACTGGATTTCCCTCGAGTGCTCGAGTTCATCAGTTCAGAGGAGTGTACATCAGTGTAGCTCTGCCAACTCATCTTGTACCTCACTTTCCTCTTTGAAGGAGCTGGATTCAAATATGTAATCACATACAATATGATCAGAATTAGAAATTAAACCAGCTACAGTTTATTTATGTCGTCATGACATGGGCACAGAGGTGCGTCGCCGTTCAAAAGTTTGGAGTCAGCTGTTATATTATTGTTTCTCTTCTTTCCTTGAATGATGGCTATTTTAAAACAGAGATGAAAATAGTACAGATCCGACACAAAGAGTATTTACATTTGAAATAGTTTCGGCCCCAAAAGAAGAAGAATTCAATGATTAAAATGTCCATTTGAATCGATGTCCCCATGGTGTCGCATGACAGGGGAGACTACAGTTGGAACTTCAATTTTGAATTTGTTTCCCATTCCAGAAGAGCGCACGCGACCCGAGTTCATAATTGAACCACAACGCTGCAATTGCGCTCTTAATATTTTTGGAAGCTGTTTTTCTCCGGGCCCTCTGCGGTTTCTGCTGTGGTTAGATCGAATAGGTTTAAGCTGTGATCGGCAAGTGTTGTGGTGTTACCAGGCGCAGGATCACTGACACAGAGGTAGATGAAGTTTGAGGAGGTTCGCTGCCGGACAACAAGGGATGGATGGTGGGTGAGTGGAGGGAAGAAGATGGCTGAGGGGCGATGGCGGATGGCAGACTAGGCTGGACGGGCAGGAAGGAGGGAAGATGACCGGCAGGTGTGATAAGGTTCTAGCAGAAGGTGTGCTGGTTGAGTGGGGAGCCAGGAGCTCGGAGAGTGAGAGCCACATACACACACACACACAGACGCAGAGACAGATGTGAAGAGGACAGGAGACACAGGGGATGTGGGAAACATGAGGGAAAATACATAGCATAGTATGTTCAGCTGGTATTCCCTGAACCAGTTCCAACACTAGACTAACCTTCTGTTTCTATTGTGACGTTTGAGGAATAGCTTTTGCTCCAGCCCGTATCTGTTAAGTCCTCTCAGTCACCTGACTGTAAACGTTTTTGAACGGCAGTGTGTAGGTAGAGTCAAAATGTCACTCATATTGTAGCAATGAACGACAAAGTGCTTAAGCTGAGCCTTATTCAGTACATGCAAGACATACTGTATCATGGACAATAGTCCATTGTATACAGTGTGATACAGTGGGGGTTGCACCTGCAGATGGAAAACCATTTAACAGTGTCCGATGAGGCGTTCACTGTTCGCCACATAGTGAGTAGAATGAGCAGCTATTATATGTCCCAGTGGCTAAACACACCTACACCCACCTACAAAGAGACAGACTCAGATTCATATACCGTATGTAGTTAAATGTTACCTGGCAAAACTGGACCACAGCAACGAAGCTGTGGCAACTCAGCAGTCAGTGACATCCGTCATGTTTGCCAACAAAATGCAGTGTCAGTGCCCTTTCAGTCACAGCAGCTCCCATCACTGCATCGCTGTGAGGGAATCCAGGGAATCATATGCATGCAGGGGGGGGGGGCAGCTATTTTTAGGCAGTATTTCAGTCCTGCCAGTATTTTACTTTCAGATGCTCTCTTCATAACCTACAATGATACATTGGCACTCCTGGGAGTATGTAACATTTAATCAAAGACATGAAGAGTCATATGTAGATAAGGAAAGCAGCAGTAGGCTACTTATGAGGGTTTGAGTTGCCAAACACATTAATTAAAGCATCCATAAACATCATGTGGTAATTTAAAGACACTCATAAATACGCATTCATGTCTTTTCATTGACAAAGAGATGCATTTTAGCACATGGTCTTAAATAATGTTCATTGTCTCTTCCACATTTCTAGATGCTCTTGAAGGTGTCATTAGAGGTTCACTTTATTCAGTGCATGTGCTCATATATTTAGGTATCTGGAGTCCCTACCAGCCCACTAACTGTGAAAGAAGACGACCCAGTCAGTTTTTCGTGGGCTGCTCAGATCACAAAACATGTGATTCAAGCCAAACCATTCAGATTTGGCTCCCCTTCCTATGTCACTTGCAGGTTCTTTAGATTACACCGCCCCCCCCCCCCCCCTCTGACGGCTTGAGATCTTTGCTAAATTGCGCCGTATTTTTATCGTTTGAAGAGACAGGCATAAAAATGTTGTGTTTGAGACAGAGGGTGAGTACGGGTATATTCAAATAATGTTTTCTTTTTTTACTTTCAAGCTTGTAAACATGTTCTAGTAGAAACCCGAATTACAAGTATGAACATGAAAATGAGCAGGATATTAACATTAACCCTTTAACACTCCCTTTCAAAGGCTATATGCGCATCTGTTTAACCGTGAAAGCCTTGTTCAAACTTATGTAAGTGTAACTGGAAACATTTATTATAAAGGTCATACTTCCCTTGGTCTGTGAATAACTGTAGCCTAGTTAACTCCGCCTGAAGGGAAGACTCACATACAGTACGCAGCTCTCAGGGAGATCCCCAGTAAAAGAAAATCATTCTCAACCAATTTTCTGTTATTTTAACACTCTGAATATCTTTTCTGGAAATGGACATTGTTTGTTCTATCTGTGAATTACATGAACTTTTGCATAAAATGGAAACAAAGCAAATATGAGATTTGCCTTCAGGCACTGATTTGAGGTCTGTATGCTACAGTATTAGTCCATTTGCATAGACAACAGCCAGAAATACAACCTTTGGCTTCACTGATCAGAGGATATGTACTCTAAGATCATTGTGTCGAACAAATTACGAGCACTAGAGAATATTACTGCCCCTTCCATAATGAGAGAGTGACTCTTAAGGCTGCGTGCACGCTAACGGCATATATCTAAATGAAGGTTGCAGTGAATCACAGCGTAGCTTCATGTAAATCCCCTCCATGGACTATTTTTAATGGCCAGATACATTCTCCACACCTTCAGGGCTACTGTCAGCACAATGACGTTGAAGAAGCCTGACAGTTATGGGTCTCGGCACCGGGAGCATTTTACCCTATAAGAGGCACGTGGGCTGGGGTTTTGGTGGGGGAGATGGGGCCTTGTCTCCCATTCATTATTTAGGGGCCTGCCATTAGCAAAGATCTATGGACGTTGAAGCTAATATGAACTGTCAACATCTTTTAAAAAACATGTTGAAAAAGGAAACAAGAAATAATAGAGTTCAGATGAGCTGGAGATAAGCTCACGGGTTTGTCTGTTGCTGGACGCTCAGCACCACAGACGAGTGGCGGAGGAAGTATATAGGCGTTTTTTGTGTTTTCTGCTTGATTGGAGGAGGCTTTCTATAATAAATGCACTCAAGAGTTTGTTATACCAAATGATTTAATGATGAGGAATTTAAACTCAGTGTTTTATTTAAGTGCAAATCCACTTCTGCTGCTGTTTAAACTCCTTTATGATTGGTTAAATTGATCTGTCACCAAGGCCTCTTAACGCCATTAGAGCCTCAACGTACAGTACCTACTGTTGATACAGACAAAGTTCAGAGGGGCTGCCATCATGTGTAATGACTGACAGTTAGTGCTCACCACCTCTGCAGCTGTTTCTGCACATAATGAGATGACTGACGTGTGTGGGGGGAACACAGGACAGAGCGGTGCGCCAGTCAAAGAAGCGCTGTCAGTTAGCAAAGAGGTGAGTTAAATAAGCAATCGGCAGAGACATCTTTCCCTGTTAAGTTGATTTAATTATTTAATTTTAGAGTGAGTGCCTACTACGAGTTCTTCTGACAAGACAGCATGCAGAAATAGACATCCAGCTGTACGGAATTAAACATGTCAGCCTGTCAGAGAAGTGATTAACTGTAACTGTGCACTATTCAGCTAAAAGTCACAACCCCATTTAAACAGGGCAGCAGCCATGAGAAGCCTGAAAAAAGAGTTTATCATATAAGAGAACAGGGTACATAATGCAATCATCATCGGGACTGAGCACCAATATGGAAAACACATTTAGAAGGTATTGATTAGAGCAAAAATGTAAAATTTCGGATCAAAGATTATTCGTACCAGCAGCGATGCAAACTTGGGACAGTTGCAACCACTGTTTGAGGTAAATTGCATAGCCAACTGTAAGCTTTTTTTATTGAGTGAATTTAAGTTATATGTCTAGGGCTTTTATTGTGAAAGGTAAGAACAGAAGGAGTGGATCTGGACTGCACTGCCTTTGTCAAAGTTGAAAGGAGAAATCAAATTTGTTGTCTTGGTTCGGTCCACAGAGCTCTTGTGTTGTTGTGCAATATAAGTGTACCTATTGAATATGTGCACGCTCTGCACAACGTGTTTCGTTCCTTTATTCAAGGTACAAACGCTCAGAAAAATTGTCCTTGCTCTGGATGCTCTTTATGCTAAGCTAATCGCCTCCTGGCTCTCTAGCTTCATACTTTCGTACAGACATGAGAGTGGTATAAATCCTTTCATCAATTTAATGGCAGGAGAACAAATAAGCACATTTCGTCAATTGTTGATTTTCTTTTCCTTTTGAACTCAGAAATGATTTTATTAAAATTGCCTCCCAAACATGTCATGTCATTAGATCTGTCTACGTTGGAGGCAGATGGAAATAGTGCAGTATTATCAGGTCTATAACAACAGCTTGTTTGTTTTGGCATTGTGGGTGTTGTCATATTTCACCATAATCACACTTTGAAAATTGGACCATCTAGTGTCCGCCATCCGAGTCTGAAGTCAATGTATGACTCACAACAGCATTGGAATGAGCTCTGTATTTCAAGTCTATTGAAGCCAAAAATGTGTTTTCCATGAGATTCTTTAGGTTATTTTGCTCAGCATTTACAGCGTGAGCCAGAGAAAGAAACCGTAACCTTTCACCGCCCACTTCTTGTCCGAGAGAAGATTATATTTACATTGGAAGCACTAATCACCGCAGTTTGTATAGAGCCCTTCTTGTATCTATCGACACGATTCAAGCCTCGACTCGAGAGAAGAGGCTTTGCAGTATTTCTGCACCACCACGATCACTAAGAATTAAGCAGAGGATGCGCTTCATGTAGACCGCAACAATGACCACCTATTTAGTGGCAATCAAGTCTGTCAGAAGAGGAATGCATGAATAGAAAGCAGGTACTTACGAACATGACCCTCTTGGGAATGTGGTCTGACTCAACCAGAGGATTCTTGTAGAGCCAAAGCTCCTCTGGTTGAATCACTCTCTCAAAGGGCTCCAGAAACTCTGTAAATCTGCAGCAAGGAACAAATGAACACTGATCAGTTACTCATTTTTTGGCGTTTAAGTAGATGCTTTTTACACAGAGCAACATGCGTTGAAGATGCACAGCCCGATTAAGCTTAAATGTTTGCATTTTGCAGGGAACAAGAGAAGAGGAGGCCGGTTCTTTCACAAGGATCAACACATCTGAGGCCATGTAAATTGGGCGACTTCATCCAAGATCACCGACACACTCGGCTGTACAAATTAGCACGCTCCTGCTGCCTCCAGCCCTCCGAGGCCTCTCGGTGATCCGTCAGAGACGACCTTGTTCTTGTTACAGATTTTGGGAAAATTTGGAATTAAAATAGGGTAATGATGGAGGCATTGCTAGCGATACAGGCCAGTGTAAGTTTCAAAATAAAATAAATAAAAGTATAGCTGAAGTTTCCTGAAGTTTCTTGGGTTTTGTTTGCTCCCCAGATGAGCTGCTTCACTGCAGGTGGAAATAGAGATTGAGTGATGCTCTCCCGAACAACTACATGCCCTTCAGCAAGGCATTCATCACGCGTCTGCTCCAGCAGAGCTGAGGAGCGTGGAGATCCTGGATCCTGTGCGTCTCCTCCTCAGTGTGAAACTGTAGCAGCGTGAAGCGCTACAAGGCTTACGCATGTTCTGCAAACCTCTTCTGGATTAAAATGGATTCACGTAGAAACAAAATGTCTCATCTCCCCCCCCCCCCCCTCTCTCTTCAAGTACCAGGAAAACCGATTATCTGTTTTTAATCCCTCTGAAAGACGTGCGCCGTATTACACCCCGTGGAAAGTCAATTTGTTGGTCCGCATGATAACTGTGTCATGATGTTTTTGCGAGAGAGCAGCCTAATCAGTACTGGCTCATTTTTCACCTTGCTGAGCCCGTGTGCATGATTCACTTCAGCCAAACATTACATTAACAGTATGCGCCTGCACAAAAAAAACCTGACTGCGCTAATGACACACAAAACGCTCCACCAGCTCGTGGAGCTCTACTACTACTACTACTCCCAGCTCGTCCTCTTGCCCAGACACCAGTTACAAGGAATGTTATTGCAGTCCGCAGGGACAGAAACGCAGAGGGATAGGGACACACCTCCTCGCTTATGAGCACACACACACACACACACATACACACACAGAGCTCTCAGGTCATTAAATAAAGCAGTGGTCTATCTGTCACTCTGCAAGGCTTATCGTAGGCTACTGCTTGTGGTGCATCCTACCCCTGACGTCTTAATGAGTTTGAGGCACACGCTCCCCCAAGGTAACTACCGAGATAAAAATTCATCTTCACAATATTTCCTTTCACATTAGAATGCACGTAGCACGCACAAAGCTGCTGCAGAGGGAAACATTATTATTTAAAAGCCATGGGGCCGTTCGTGCAGGTTTTAAAGTTACATTGCTGAAGATTTCCATGAAATCAAACCCCATGTTTGACTCAGGTGAGATATTTGATAAGAGGATGCAGCTACAGATGGCAAATGAACTCCTGAAGTTTCACTATTTTCAGATATTTTCACCATCTCCATGTTCGCTGGGGATGATCCCTTTCATAGGGTCAAAATTAAAATGCCTGTCGGACATGATAATGATATTCCTCCTACTTTTGGAGAATTTGTATCCAATCTCCTGCAACAAATCAATACCGCCCTCAAAGGATTTGCCTTGGCTCGAGTTTCTTTTTGCCTCATCTCCTCTCTTCCAGGCGTGGACTTTATTAAAAGAAATACTCCAGTGGGGGGTTTCGGTGCACTTTGAGGGCTCCAGGCTCCGAACGTATAGTTGGAATTAATCAAGGCTTTCATCCGTGGATAGAAGGGCCTGGCCTTTGTGGAAACAAATTTTACTATCATTGTATTTTACAGGCTGAGATGAAAGCGGTGGGGGAGTGCAGCATTTACAGGCTGGTGACAGAGGATGCATTGGACTGAGCTGGGAAGGAAGGACAATGTGGATTACAGTCACATTAGTGCAGCTAATGTCAGAGCTCGGAGAGGTAACGACATACACAGTGTGAACCCCAATTTATCCAGCTGGGATGTAATCACATTGATTCAAAGAGAGAGACGGAGGGGGTGGAAGGTGGTGGGCTGCAATACCGCAGAAACAAACCTTCAACTGGCACATTAAGACAGGCAATAATGTCTGCATAACAGCCGAAGTGATATTTTGTTTTACATGTTTTTTTTGCTTGTGGCTCATTTCCTGTTTCATCTGCACCGCTTTCTTTTCTGCTTATTTCCAAGCTAAAAAAACAACCTTTCAACACTTTCTGCAGATGACCATGACAGCAGGAGCTACAGAAAAGAGACATAGATGAGGAAATAAAGCATTCAACACCCACCATGTCTCTCCAAAATGCAGAGTAAGAAGTGTGTAAAAAATTCTACAAAGGCAAACTCTAATCAGTACTCCAGTGAGACCTAAGGCCCTCTCACCTGCTCTCTGGCCAGAAGAAATGAGCCCTCTAAGTGCTCATAAAAACGGAGGCACACAAAAAGCCCTGAACTCAGCACCGCCTGCTGGCTGTCTGGGGAGCACCTCATTCTGTTTTATCTGCTTCTGTTTGCTCTGTGTAGAGACATTATTGAGCGATGGTATAACGGCTTCTATAGGGGCCACAACTTTCTGGATTAACCGGCATCCTAGCGGCTCTGTGGGTGAGTATGTGAAGATGTTGAGATAGCCTCTGATAGCGCACAGTACATTCACATCCATCCCCATGACTGTGCTTTAGTCTAGGCTTTAAATCTTTACATCTGACCCCCTTTCTAACTCAGGAAGGTTTGATATTTTTGCCTCTTCCCCATTCCTTTTCATCAAAAAGCTCTGCAATTGGGCCAATTCATCATCACCAATTCCAATCCATCTCTGCAAGATGCACATTCTAAATCTGTTGAGCGCGGCCACGGCCAAGGAAATAAAACTGAATCACTGAAACACTTTTGAGATTCAGCACACAACAGCGTGGAGACCTGCGAGCAGCTGATTGGAGAGCTCTTGATATGCAATGCACTGTGGGCAGAATCTGTGGCTCTGTCCTTGGGGATACATTTCCTCTGCTGTGCCAGCGTGACAAAAGAAGGAAAAAAAACAAAAGTCAAGAAATTCCTCCTTAATTAGTTGGATATGCTGTGGAGCAATGATGCACACAGAAGAGTGGAATAGCTTAGCTGGATTAACTTCAGGCAAGCTCCCGTTTTCACAAATCTAAGTTTGAAAGTAATCTTTTGGCTCACTGGCTGTGTGTGTGTGTGTGTGTGTGTGTGTGTGTGTGTGTGTGTGTGTGTGTGTGTGTGTGTGTGCGTGTGTTTGTTTTCAGCCTATCACAGAGATATCCAAACAGAAGCTGAGCATTCATCAATATTGATGGCATTATATCTGCTAGCGGTCTGAGCCAAACTCAGAGAGCCACTTATTAAACTGCAGTCACGCAGCATTTATCTACAGGTGCAGGAGGCCACAAAGCAGCTTGAACACTGCGTAGCTCACTTAGCAGACGGTGCGCGTGACCTTCACCTCTCAAGAGAAATTAAAAACACCGGGGGAGCTTTGCCACGTCCGACGACACGGGGGCGCAGAGCCCCACACATGGAACAAGAGGTCCATTGGAATGTCTCAATAGTCGGCTCGGGGCTAGTCTTGTCCCTCCTAAATGGTGAGGTTAAGCCGTTTTCCTCGCCTTGTTGCACTTCCCACCAGCGCGGTTCACAGGTTGTGATTGCCACGGTGCCTGACGCAACCCAGAGACACATTCAGAAGGGATTGCAGGCCGGCATTGTGCGCGTTCACATTTGATTGCATTTGCTCTCTCCCTAGTCGCACATTTGGCAATCCAGGAGCGAGCTGCGTGCGTTCAGCTAAGGGACCGACGGGAGAAGACTTGGAGCCGACCATCTGCCAGATTATTGGACGGAATGTGAAAATACATTTTTCCACCTCCAGATCGGAGGTGGGCAGTCATCACTGCCATGTCACACCCCCCCCTTCCCTTATTACTCCAGTCATTAAATCATCGAGCAGGGCGCTATTGAAAAAGTGACTTATGAGATTTACAAGCTATTAGGATGAGAGGATGTGTAGAGCCCTGAGGGAAATTCCCATCCTCCTCTGTTCACTGCATCTTCTGGTTCGTTTACCACTGGTAAATTCCCATTCCTCCTCTTACCCGCCATTAAATCCAGCTGGAGAATTGGGCTGGTCAATAAAAGCTAAAGGGTCAGTGGTGGATGTTGAGAGCTTGGGCCTCGATACGTCGAAAAAAAACAAATATATATCGGAAGAAATGTGAGGAGGAGAGATGTAAGCGGAAATAATAAGTGATGAAGAGAGAGAATGGTGGAGCGGACTGTTGGCCGGCTGTGTGGACAAATTATAAACACTGATGTTTAGTGTTAACGGTGCTATGGTATGAAGATCATAGCACAGTGCATATATTAATGTTTGCATGAAGAAGCAGAGGGGCAGGATGGCCTTCAGGAGTAGTACTAAGATACTATGAGTCAACATTATTCTACTGGAATATTAGTAAAAGGTATTAAAGGAGCAGGTTGACGTTTTGGGAAATAAGCTTGTTCTCTTTCTAGAGGAAAGCTAACAAGTGGTCTGTTAGCTTAGCATAAAAACAAGGGTGAAACATTTCGCCTGGCTCTGTCCAAAGGTAACAGAATCTGCACCAGCACCTTTAAAAAACACCTTATGGAGAGTGGTATTGATCTTCTTAACTAACAAGAAAAGCCAATAAGCATATTCCCCAAGTACACTTTCTGGAATACTTTGTTCTGTGTTGTACTAACCTAGTAAAGTGAATCAGAAACACATTTTTTTACCCAAGTCCATTAGTCATATATAAATGGGTACATTTTCACAGAGCACATCAGCTCACGTCAGCTTTTATGGAGTTCTGCGTTCTGAGAAATGTGCTGTCCCAAAGTCTCAACCTCAAAAAGAGAAATTCATAATGATTGGTGGATGGGAGTCGTTGCAGGTGA